CTATTTCATGGTATCTAGGATGTTGAACTCTATTCTCCACCAACCTACTACTATCACGAACAACTACATTATGGAATGCACCATCACTACCATCAACCTCTCCATAACTAGTCTACATAAAATAATTATCCATAAACCCCTTTCTATAAAGATGAGTCGTAACATCTCCAAACCCAAAAAATTCAAACACTTGCACTTCATACAAGGACACATAATCATCTCTCCAATACGAAACGGTTCAAGTGACATTACATGCCTAATAAATTCCTTAACCCCTTCTACAAATTCCTCCCTTAAAAATCGATGATTAGGATAATTTCTATTGTACATCCAACTACAATATTCTATCTACACAAAGACAAATAAATTACATGTTATATTAATTGACTATTCAAATTAATTTATAGTTTAAGTTACATAATAAACTTTAATTACAAAGTAGTTAATTTAGATAATTTGAGTGCATATTAATTTTAAAGTTCTCACATATATCCCTAAATAGGTTCTTTTCAAATTTAATTAGACCATTAACGTACAATATAATTGAAAGACTTGCTAGATAGCTAACACTAGCATTAATCGTAATATACTAACTCATTCAATTATAATTTATTAACACATTCAATTAGACTAACACAATTAGTTAACTCTAATTTTCTAAAAGCAATAAACACTAATAGAACAATATAAGTATCCCCTAAATTAATAAACCCTAAATTTCTAAAAGCATTAAACACTAATAGAACAATAAATTAAACCCTAAATTTAAGAATTAAAGTAACTTTAAAAAAACTAGGTGACTAACCTTCAGGTGGTGGAAGCAGCGGCGGCGGCGGAGCAATGGTGGTGGAGAAGAAAGTGAGGAAGCGGCGGCAAGGAGGTGGCAGCAGTGTCGGTGGATGGGATAGGGATGATGGGGGGCTTTGATTTTGGGGGGAAGGGAGGCAGGAATCGATTTTGCGTGGGATTAGGATGAAATCGCCTTAAGGTGGAGGAGAGAATGAGAGATAGAGAAAATAGAGAAATGGGGAAGAAAGCCCGTTGTTGGGGCTCTAAGTTATAGATTTCCATCCGACTCCGGTCGAAAAAGCGGTCGATACATTTAAGTGACTATTTGACCATGAACTAACCGACCGATTTTGGTAGGTAATCTGATTTTTACATTTTTTTAATTTTTTTTATTAACATAATCGACGGAAGTCGATCGGTATTTAGTNATATATATATATATATATATATGTGTGTGTGTGTGTGTGTGTGTATTTATATATATTTCCAACTCTGTGATTTGACTTAGTAAATGTTGTCGTTGCTACAACTTATGTTTTAATATAGCACTACATCTTATAGCACTATACATTTTTGTTTTTAAATGTATTATAGCGTGTTGGATGCCGATACTTAGACTTGATCGTTCCCATATTAAAACTCAAAATTTAATTTAATAAGGTCATTAATATGTCTGGGCATCTTGCCAGTTAAAATCAAGAATGATGCATGTTCTAGGTTAAATAAAGTGATGAAAACCATATCATAGGTTAATAGAATATAATTGAATTTCCAATTGGCCCATCGATCAAGTATCCGAGCAAAGTACTAATAAGGTGATCGAAAATAAAATATCCTTTTTCGTTTTACACTACATTATCTGAGGGCCTTACATACTTACATACTCTAAGAGTGTGTTTGGTACGAAGGAAAATGTTTTCCATGGAAAACGTTTTCCTAGAAAATCTTTTCATGAAAAATGAGTGGTTCTATCACTTATTATCCCTTGTTTAGTTGATGAGTGGAAAACTTTTTTCGGAAAATATTTTCTAGTGTTTGGTTAGAGAATAAAAAATATTATTTTAGGAAAATATTTTTTATGCTAAGCTCCTCGCCCTCCCCCCTTCCCCCAAGTCTCTAAAAATTCATATAAACCCAAAGGAACTGATGTGTTGCTTTACTTTTTTACGCAAAAATAACATTGAAATTTGTGCTCCATAACTAAAAAGAATATACTCTTTTTTGGGTTCAAAAAGAAAGTACTCTTTCTACAACATGAAAATAAAGTACTCATTTTATTGAAATAAAAGAAAAGACTTTTTCTACATCATGAAAAAAATACTCACTTTGTTGAAATTAAAAAAAATACTTTTTCTACATGAAACGAAAGTATTTTTTTGGTTAAAATAAAAAACAAATCCTTTTTATATCCTAAAAAAACTCATTTGTTGAAATGACAAAAAAACTATCTATAACATGAAAAGAAAGTACTACTCATAATATTTTTATTTAGGGTNGTTGGGTTGGTGGGGATAGGGAATAGGGTGGGGAAGGTTGAGAAGGAATTTTGGAAAATATTTTCCCTTCTCTTGATAGGGAAACATTTTCCTCCAATTGGAGGAAAATGAATTGATGAGATAATATTTTCTAAAACATTTAAGTCAACCAAACATGAGATAATTGGAAAATATTTTCCGGAAAATGTTTTCCTTCATACCAAACACACCCTAAGTCATTTATGCTTGGATGTTTTATTCTCGATCACCTTATTAGTACTTGCTCGAATACTTGATCAATTGAAAATTCAATTATATTCAATTAACCTATGATATGTTTTTCTCACTCAATCAACTTCTCCCTGGGCAAGACTAATTATCACCAAGTATGGAGAGAATTGCCCTAAAGTGAATCTCTCCTTTATCTGGAAGGCCATCTTAAAAGGATGGAAATTATGCAATAAAGGTATAAGATGGTCTCCTCATCTTAAATCCAATAAAAAACATTTGGGATAACAAATGGATCCAAACTCAGATAAGCTTAGGAGTATAATTGAGGGTCCCATTAGATCGGAAATATACAACCTAAGAATCAAAGATATCTTGCTTAACAACCAATGGGATCTCACAAACCTCTCCATAGACATCCTTCCGGAAATTCATCAAAACATTCTTAAGACAAAAATTCGTACAAAGGGCCCCTTAAATGATATTGCTATTTGGTCTCTTTCCTCCAAAGGAATCTTCACTAGTAAAAGTTGTTACAACCTTATGGGACAAGTAGAAACAAACCAATTGGAATATGATTGGATTTGATCCTCATCATACCCAAACAAAATGAAATTCTTCCTTTGGCAATGTCTCCATAATAGACTTCCTTGTAGAAAGTACCTTGCTCATATTGGTATCAACATTGACCAAATTGTCCCATATGTGATAAGAAAGAAGAAGAGACTATCACACATATTTTCATGACTTGCACTATAAGTAGAACTTTTTGGGACAATTTGGGAGGGTTAACCATGCATGATCCATCTAGAGGCCACTGGATAACTCATTTAAAAAATCAAAAAATGACAACCAAATTGAATGGAATTATATCCTCCCCTTCATCCTATGGGAAATTTGGATTACTAGGAATGCCAACAATCAAAATAATTTGAAGAATGATGTTTTCTTTAAAAATATTACTCAAAAAGAAGTGGAGTACAAGATGCTCACGGAATACAATCCGCTTCCCATCCAAAAGATTCGACTTCAAATTAAGTGGCAAAGATCTCTAAAGGGATGGTACCAACTAAACGTCGATACTAGTCACAACAACTTCCAAAGCTCTCAAGGAGGAGTATTCCGTAACAATAATGGGCATTGGGTCGTTGGTTTTAACAAACTCATTCATGTTATGGGATCATTGGAAGCTGAAATAAAAGCAATTAAGGAGGGACTCAAAACTGCCCATGAGTAGGACTTATTTCCACTACAAATTGAAACAGACTGTGCGGAGGCCATTCAAGCTATGTGGTAATAAACTGTTTGATAATGTTGTTAATATTTGCAGGTCGTTAATGCACCAAGGGAAGGTGACCCTCCTCCAGCACACGTTTAGGGAATGCAACAGTGTTGCCCACACCATGTCTAAGATGGAAGGAAGTCCAGGAGTGAAGAAGAAAGTTTTTTTAGTATCTCCAAATGTGGTTTTTAATCTTGTAAATTATGATGTAGACAATGGTCGTTGGTTTGTTAAGTACTTATCTATGGATGCTTGCAATGGTTTAGCAAGCCTAGCAATCAATGTGACCTAAGTGGCACACTACTAGTCAATGATTTAACAAACTCTCTTTAGCTTTTAATATATATGCTTCATGTTTGCTCAAAAAAAAAAACCTATGATATGTTTTTTATCGCTTTATTTAACCTAGTACATGCATCATTCTTGAATTTAACTGACAAGACGCTCGGGCATACTAACGGCCTTAGTAGATTAAATATTGAGTTTTAATGTGGGAGCGATCGAGTCTAAGTATTGGCATCCAACACGCTATATTTAAAAACAAAATGTATAGTGTTATAAGATGTAGTGCTATATTAAAACTTAAGTTGTAGCAATAACAACATATACTCGATCAAATCACACAATGTGTGTGTGCGCGCGCACGTGTGAGCGTATGCGTTTATGTGTGTGTGTGTGTGTATGTGTGTATACACATATTTAGAACGTTAAATATATGTAGATTGTAAATAAAAATAATCTATCAGTGGTTGATCATTTTTTACCATAAATACCAAATAATTTTCGGTCGGTAACTTCATAATTATTTTAAAAATAATTTTTTGTTACAAAAAAAAACAATTGACACTGGGCATAAAAAAATAAATTAAATTTTCCAACCGATTTCAGTCGGTATTCTTAAAAAAATTTAATTAAACTTTTTTTGGTAGATAATATGCAAGTCTAACCAGGTTTTGGTCAAAGATTGACCATTTTCCAACCAACATCGGTCAAAATTTTCATGTGTCAGACATAGCAGTGTTTTTTTATTGTGGGACCACTTTTTCCGACTGATGGTGGTCGGTATCTTTATGTAAAAAAAATTATTTGACTTTTGCAACCAATTTATGTATTTCCGATCGATTTCAGTCGATTTCCTCTTCCGACCGATTTCGGTTAGTATACTGTGGACAGTTTTTGACAGTTTTTTAGCAGTGAGTGAAAAGGGTCAACTGAAGCAAAATGAATAGTGATAATTGATAATTTATGTAATCGACCAAACTGACTTGAGACCATATTAGCTTAGCTGTTTACAAACGAGAAATCCTTATTACCACAAACTTGAATAATACATATTCCATTAACTAGCGGAGACCCTGGGTACTGGTTCTCTAATTCAGCTGTTTTGACCATTCTCTAGTACATCGAAATCATATTTACTGAAACTGTAACACCATATTATAACAACAGAATTGCCTCAAATGTCCCAGGTGTAGCAATACTTAATGCCCAAAGTTAGTTCTCCTCATCATCCTCATGAAGTCATCAACATTAACCTCTCCATCACCTGCAATATTTACAGCCAAGAGTTCCTCAATATATTCCGTAACATGCAGCAACAGATTCAGGGGAAACGGAAAAAAAAAATTAGAACATCCCCTCCCTCCCTCCCAACCAAGGGGAGAGACAGAGCGGTGCAGAACTGTGAGTTATAGTCAAATTCAGCAACACCCAAAGAGAATTGTCCAAGGTGAACATCCAATCTTACGTGCACTGATATTTAATGAGGTGGATGTTGCATTGCATGCCACCTCAGTGCCCCTAATCCATATATAAAAACTAAAATTTAAAATACAATATTTTTCATGGTAGGGGTAATGATAGCAATAGTGGTGGAGGGGAAGGAAATTTTAGTGTTGGAAAAAATAGAAGGGAGGGCTAAAATGAGTTAGGGGTGCTGAGGTGGCAAGTCATGTGGCATCCACCTCAACAAATGTCAGTGTCACGTAGGATTGAATGTCCACTTTAGACAAACTTAACGGAAAGAGGTATATTTGAACTAATAATATAATGACAAGGCTATATTTGGACTCAAAGTATAACGAGGGGTACATTTAAACCTTTTCTGCTAGTACAGGGATATATTTGGCCCTTTTCCGTACATATAATCTAAGTCATGGGGTGTCGATGACCAGTACAAGAGTTGTGAGGTTCACTAATCAGCCAGTAAGATTTTACCAAGTGGAACTGCCTGGAGATAAGTAGTCCTGCAACATATTTCAACAACATTGACCTTGTTTACTGTTATCATATAGCTATGCTATTATTGAAATGTGTTCAGATCCCTCAATCGCATCACATGCTATAGTTTATGTGACCGAAGGCATAATGTCCACTGGAACCCCCATGGATTTTATCATCAACTTGATGAGTTAATTTCAAGATAGTTTGTGAAACATTAAACCAATCAACAATTCAACAGCTAACTGAATATTTATCTCGAAAAAAATAAAGTACAATGTCCTAAGATTAGAATTTTAATGTAAAAGGGACTCTCAAAGATTTCATGGTATTAGTATACAGCATCTGTTTCAGAGTTAGTAACAGTAACATATACAAACAATATAAAATCTTAATGTATTTGTAGCTAAGAGAAACTCAGGGGAAGACAAACATTAGACAAGGTCAACAACTAAGGTTTGGAAAAGATAAGACTTTCTTCTTAGTACGTCTGTTATATTATCTTAAACAAGTGGTAATATATATTAAGATGTCAATTTTTGGAATTTGGGTATAACAGTTTTTGGATTAGCTAGGTCTTTTCAGAAAGCTCCACCAGTAAAATATCTTAAATACCAACATATATTGAAACAAGTAAAGCACTAAAGCATAAAGAGGAAAACTAGATAATAAAGCCTAACTTACGATCTTGATCTGCCGCTTCTATCATTTCCTGGATTTCTCTGTCAGTAAATCGCTCCCCCAACTCATCGGCGATTCTTTGAATGTCTGCAAAAGAGATCTTCCCCTGCATTTAAATTATCTGATGATTAGTAACCAATAACAGAACTGTCAGGAAGACAACCAAATAAGCAGAAAGCAGGAGGGCAAGAAAAAGCAGGCACATTTTTATCTTGATCAATAACGTCGAATGCTTTCTTGAGCTCCTCTTTAGTATCCCTTTCTCCAAACTTGGCAGTCATCATGTGCACAAATTCATCAAAATCAATTGCACCACTGCCATCCTTGTCAACTTCTGCAATCATTCGATTGATCTCCTGGAATAACAAACACAGAGATCATAAGTGCACTAACACATACGAGAAGACCTGACAAGAAGAAGAAAAACTAAAATCAAGTTTTTAAGCCAGAAATAGACAATATGACACGATGGAAAGGCTCCAAATTAACAAAATGAGAGCGAGAGAGAGAGAGAGAGTAAATGATGAACTTATTCGCAAAATGACGCGTCAAATAACAAGTGAATGAGTAATCAAATAATATTAGAAATGTTAAAATAGTGATACAGGCACCTACAGTCCAAATCTTCGAGATTTTGCCGGTGGGATCAGCCAACATGTTATAGGCTAGGAATACAGAGCAAACAAAAATACAAAATGAAAATAAAAATAAAAAATCCTTTTCAATAATCTATAGATTCCTTTATTTCCCTGGATCAAAACAATAAGCTGCACATCCTTCAGTGCAACTACCTAAAGATCTTTGGCATCACTTCAGCACAGATAAACACAAAATAATGCAACTCAATTTATGTTTCAAGATCAAAATCACTCTGAAATTTGTAACCAGGCTGTCTACTTTGACAATCATGATGTACAAAGTGGAAGAGCTGCTAAACAGTCACTAGTAATTCATTATTTGATAGCCACACAAGACATCTACTAAGAATCCGGCTTAGTGTAGCAATGGAAAGAGCACACCCTTAAAATAAGCTCAACGTGTCCAAACAGGAAAAAGAATGAAAGATGAAAGAAATTTATGTTAATCATTGCAGGGTATGCAAACCTTTTTTGATAAGTAAAGATTAGCTTTTACTGAAATATCAGCAAAAAGATAATGCTGGGGAAAGTTACAAATCAAAATATAGAGGAGGCCATTACATGCAGGGTATAGGAGCATCGACGGCAAAAGAGGAAACAAAAAAAACCTGCATAAATATGCAACTTGAACATGAAAAACCAAAAGAACCAAACACAAATTCAAAAATCATAGAATCTTTCAGTCAGCAATAATAAAGCAAGAAAACTGCTATCTGTAATAGGACAAAAAGTAAAGTATTGAATCACATAATTCAAATTATACGCTTCAGAAACAAGTACAGATATTGTTGTCATTCCATATCTTCTAGACTTCTACTGTATGAAATGTGCTGTTAAACAGAACGATACAGTTGAATATAGAACTAGCATATAAATACCTCTTCAGTTGCTTCAAAACCCAGGGCCCTTAAAAAAAAAAGCATATTAGTTTTATTTATCAATAAAATGAAGCAGGAAAGATACCACAGACCATGAGAATGTGGGAGAAAGTAGAATTATCAAAAAGTCAAAGAAGGTTATTTAATAGATATCGAGGACGTTGTAACCAAAGCAAGAAATTATCACAAACCTCATAGCAACATTGAGCTCTTTGGCATCAATGGTTCCTAAATAAGTTGCAAAAAATTAACACAGTCAGAAAGAAGTTTAAATATCAATAACCACATCTAGTATGGATCTCCTTGAGGTTTATTTTACTACCAGAGTTGTCTGTATCAAAAAGCTCAAAAGCCTCTCTTATTTCTTGCCTTTTCTGTTGAGTTAACCCCTGATTACGTCCTCTGGGTTTCTCTCTCCGTGATGCACCTCTGTAAAGGCTTGCCTGCAGGACGCCATAATTCAGGTGAGTGATACAGACTAAGATCAGAGATGGAGTAGTATCAAGCACATATCCAATATCACACAGTGTCCAGCCAGCTATCTTTCTATAGCATATTTCTTTCTCGATACATCTATTTAATTCTTTTCTTTTTGTGATGAAAGTGGTATCTGGGCTAGCTTGCGCTTACCTCGACTATTCCATCAGATACCTGCTACCCTCCCATCAGCACAATTACCAAGTAACTCTACCCGCAATGGCTCAGGCATGGGAAGAAAATCACCTAGTGTTTTTTGCCTCCACGAAAATCTGAACCCGAAATCTCATGGTTTTCATATCAGACCCCTAAACCACCCTTGGGTGCAATTCAGATCTATATGTTATATCAATTGTTCAACTCGAACCAAGAGAATAGCATTGTAGACCTTTAGACGTCTGTGTGCGATAGAAAATTTAGCTACACTCATAGAATTAGGTCGATAGAGGTAAAGGATGCCATAAAAAAATATGAAGATTCGCAAAGCTTGTGGTCCAGATAGCATCTATATAGAGGTCTGGAAGTGCCTGGTAGAGATCGGAGTAGAATGACTCACATTCACAAAGCTATTTAATGCTATACTAAGAAGTGGTAGGATGCCCAAAAAGTGGAGAAAGAGTACCCTGATACCAATTTATAAAAATAATGGAGATATTCAAAGTTGTGCGAACTATGTGGCACTAAACTCATAACTCAAATGATGAAACTCTGGGAAAGAGTGATAAAGCGTAGACGGATAAATACGACAAGAGTGACAGAGAACCAGTTTGGATTTATGCCCGGTAGATCTATAACGGAAGCCATATTCTTGCTATGAAGATTGATGAAAATTTATCACGAAAGGAAGAAAGATCTATCCATGGTATTTATTGATCTAGAGAAAGCATATGATAGAGTGTTACGGAAGGTCCTTTGGTGCGGGAAGGAGAAGAAAGGAATTCATAATAACCAAGTCAGTCCTTTACGAGGGGATTCATTTGACATGTTTTAATTGAGGGAGAAGGGTCGGGCAGGTATGGGTAACCGAGTCTGGTTGGGTTTTCTTAATTATGGGTTGGTTCTTTCACTCAGACAATGCCATGTGTCATGTCCTTTAAAACATGGGTAAATGTAGAACTTTGATGAACGGTAAAGGTATTATATGAACTGAAAGTATAACAAGAGACACGATTGAACAATAAAAAAAAGTAAAGGCGTATATCCGACCCTTTTCTGTTATATAAATGCCATAAAGGATATGTATCAAAGAGCCATCACTAGCGTGAGAATAGTAGTAGGAGATACAGAAGGTTCCCTAAAATAAAGGGTTTATACCATGGTTCGGCATTGAGCCCCTACTTGCTTACCCTAGTTTGATGGATGAGCTAACCAACACAGTACAAGATGAGGTCCCATAGTGTATCTTATTTGTTGATGACATTGTGTTAATTGACAAAACTAGTGAGGTTGTCAACCAAAAGCTTGAGATATGGAGAAGCGCCTTGGAGACTAAGCTATAGAATAAATAGAAGTAAGACTGAATACATGCATTGTAAGTTTAGTCAGCATGAGAAGAACGAAGTTAAGGTGAGACTAGATGGGATTGTGGTGCCAAAATGCAAATAATTTAAATACATAGGTTTGTTGTTTCGAGAGAATGGCATAATAGATGAAGATGTTACCCATAGGATTAAAATCGGATGGATGAAATCGAAAAGTACTAATGGAGTGTAGTGTGATAGAAGGATGCCTACCAAAGAGAAAGGTAAATACTATAGAACAGTTATAAAATCGCAATATGATATGATAGTGTATATTAGGCTACTAAAGTCTAACATATTCATAAGATGAGTGTTGCAGAGATACTGTGCTAAGATGGATGTATGGCCATAAAAGATTAGAAAAGATAAAAAATGACCACATTCGCCAAAAGGTTCAAGTAGCATGCATTGAGGATAAAATAAGAGAAGGTCGCTTGAGATGGTTTGATCATATCTTGCGCCGCCGTACAGAGGCACTGGTATTTAGGTGTGAAACTATTGTAAGTGAAGGTATTAGAAAGGGGCGAGGTAGACCTAAAATCACATGTAAGGAAGTTGTCTCGAAAGATCTACAAATCCTTGGAATTAGTACACACTTAGCTAAAGATTTGGCACAATGGAAGAAAAAGATTCATATATGTAACACTTACTAGTTATGAATAGGCATAAATATTACTATGTTTCTTATTATTATTACTATTATATATATTTTATTTTGGCATGATGATGATATGAGCTAAGCTTAAGGAAAAAAGTGAGGATTCATCTTGCCAACCCCAACTTTGTTTGGGACTGAGGCGTAATTAATGTTGTTTGTATCATGTCGTTCTCCTGGAATACTAAGTTAGATATCTGAATTGTCTGCATTTAGACACCACATCCCATCTAACCACACTTTATTCTTTCTAGACCAGGTTGTTTTGTTTTTCAATCTCATTCTTCTAAAGAAAAGGTAAAGAAAACTTACAATTTTAATTTACTTTCCCAAGTATTTAAACGCAATGCATAAGAAAACACAAGAGGAGAGGCTATATAAGTCGCAGGATTTAGAACTTGTTGGTTCAACAAAATGTTTTTTGGCACCATATACTGCCATCATAGCGGATTTTCTTTTTGATAAGGGTAAATTTTATAAATGGAAAGGACAGCACTAAGAAAGTGACCATTTCATAGCCAACATATACTGTTAGAGAGGACAAAAGGGAGATACATTTGGAGAAGGATGATGAAGATAAGGGATGAGAATCAGAGAGTTGGAAGCAAGTTCTTATGTGTCATCAGAGGATCATCGGCGGTTATGTTTGAAGTGCTAATTGGAGATAAAAGACTTGCTCCATGCTTAGATTAATGTGTTGTCAACAACTTATATTACTCTCTAGAGCATGGTGTTTGATTAATATTTAACACCCACTTGACTAGCTTTACAGCACGTCATACTACAGATTTTTCGAAAAGAGAAATAACCAGGTGGAGTGGCACGGCATCAGAGCTTGGGTTCCTTGAGATATATGAAAATTTTCACATAGCACAAGATTCTCAAAAAAGAAGAAAAAAGAGGTCTGAAGACCTATAGCTAAACTATCTAATTGAAACCTTAATGTAATATGATAGATTACTTTTTTTAAATTACCCATACAACTTAGGGAGTATCGGCACGTCGAAAAACATAAACATGAAGGGGAACAAACACAAGAAAATGAAGTAGCTGGGTAAGACCACCTTCCAGCATAAACTATCTTTCCCGTTTTTAATCTTGTATTTTTGTTCCCTTTTAGTTGACAAATCATAAACCGGACATGTTTCTTTTCCTAGTGACATAATCTGATTTTCCAATCAGATCAACAGCTCAAAAGAGCTCTATGCTTCTATCACAAATGAAAACAACCACAGCTCAGGATGTTTTCATATAGATTGCAGTTACGGAAGAAAGTAAAAAAGGAAATAACAGCGGCGTTTCACCCCTTGTGAAAGCTCTTCATGTATTTCTACCTAATTATAAGCTGAAACGAACTTTCTTTTTCTTTTCTTTTCAAGTGCTAGAACCCCCCCCCCCCTCTTCCCACCTCTCTTCGTCTCCGGTTTCGTTCAGGGGAGGAGCTAGAAACCCAAATACGAGTTCGACTGAACCCACTAATTGTATTAGTATTAAGAAATTCATTAAGAGTCTATTGAAAAGCGGTGCATAATTATTAATTATTGCTAGGGTCGTAATTATACACCCAGGTAAATATGTACAAACATTAAATTTAGAATTCAGTTACTTGAAGTTATCTTCTAAATTTCAGAAACTCATAAAGTTGAAATCCTAGCTCCACCTTTGGGTCCTTTCCAACAACAATCTATTTCCTTTTACCTCAAACAAAGAAAGCTACCAACAAAAGATCAACACCTCCACATAAACATAAATAAAAATATTCAAAGAAAAGGACATTCAAAAAGGCTAGAATCATTACCGTTGATCTTTCTTCTAAATAAGTCTGCAAAAAAATCAAAAGGAAAAAAAAGAAGGATTAATAACATCCAAGCAGTATTAGAGAACTCCAAAAGGGTATTAGCAGAAATTGTATTAAACAGTAAACTGAGGCAAGTTTCTCCATGCGTTATAGTAATTCTTGAACTTGTGAAAAAAGTAAATCAAAACGAAGAGAATCTTATGAAATTGAGAAAGAAGCTAGTACCATTTTGATAAAGACTTAGAATGATGAGAGGGAGATCTAGGAGATGGTCGTCTGGGTAGAGTTGTACTGCTTCTTCTAGGAGGAGGAAACGCGTTGGACTATTTCTGAAACTGAAAAGGATTTTCAATAACTCCCATGTTTTTTATTTTATTTTGGGAAAGGGTAATTTCACTTAGACCCGTGAAGTTCAGATTCTTACCTCTATTGGCTGCCCCAAGTGCAAGGCTGGAAAAAAAGATAAGCATAAAGGAGGGTATCTTTACTTAGACCCCTGAAGTTTTAAATTCTGAAAGTTTCACCTCAAATAGTAGTAGTAGTAGTGACGACCTCAGTAACTATACCTGGGATTTCAGGTATTATTTGGAAGGATTTATGAATTATGATCCGGTAATTATTTGGATCAACAAATTTGAACCTAATTTCGAAAAAAAAATTGATGAAATAATGTGAAGACATTATATGCGAAATGATACCATATGATGATTGTTTACCCTTAAAACGGATAACAATTAAATTTATACGCGGTTTTAACGATATGTGGATTGCTTCAATACAAATAATCAAGAATATTAGATAAACGATTTAAAAACAAAATGAATAATCAAACCAATTGTAATATTACGACCCAGCTCGAACTTAGGTCGAACAGTAGTTTTGCCCTCGATCGGATCTTTGGTTCAAAGCCAATTGTGAATGAAAAATAAACAGTAAAGTAAGAACTTTGCAATAGTTAGAAAGCAGAAAAATAAATTTGTATTGCCTTGATTTGCGTCTTAGAATATGTGTTATCAAAGAAAGACTTCCTCTTATATAGTAGGAGAGTTTCATTCCTAGTACAAGTCTAAAAAAGATAAAAATCTTCCTTTCTTGTTAATTACTGATTTGTAACGGACATCAGGCGAGATCTACACCGTGATATCCTATTAGGTACGGATATTGCGGCCCTCTGTTAGTCATGCATAATCGTTTGCCATATTTCCCGAAGTCTTAGAGCTCGTTTTGGGTCCGAGGAGCATTGCTTTATCATGCCCGATGATGAGCACATCGTTCACCTTTCATGGGTCTCGGTACGAAAGACTCCCATCCTCGATTTCAACCTCGTGTGCCCGTGCCCTTCTTCCGTCTTCTTCACCGGGAAATCGGAGTATGCATTGTCCCCCATTTTACCCGTATACAGATAGTCTCCTCGTTTTCCGAAGAGTAGGTTTGCTGGAACAATGGGAAACGAATAGATGAACCCTGGTTTCTTCCCTAGTAAGTTATAACTGAGATGGCGGGTAAATCGAAAAGTCCCATCAGTCGCGTCGTTCTAACTTCGGACACGTGTTGGTTATCGGCTGGCTGTCTTTGAATATGAAAGTCGCGCATTGATTGCATTTTCCCCTATAAAAGCTTCAACCCTCTTCATTTCTTCCACTTTCTGATTCTAGACTTTACCTTCGATCACTCTAACGGCTTTTAAATTCTCCAGATCTTCTTACATTGTTCATTGAGCCTTTATATCTTTATCTTCATACTTCTTCTTTGAACTTTTATCCCAAACCTTCATATTTTCATTCTATCTTCAAATCTCTGTATTTTCCTTAGACCTATATTTTCCAGATTATAATGGCTAAAACATCCAAGTCAATGCCTCAACGGGCCATCCCTTCATCTTCCCACCCGATCGCAGATGCCGAGGTGGTCGTTCCCAAGGTAGCTCAAGAGCCCCCCATGAAGAGCTTCATACCTAGGAGCTTCTCAATCGCGAATGACTTCAAGGTCGAGAAGGCCTCTAGTCAACAAGATCGAGGCGAGGAAACATGGAGATACATATGCTCCGTTAATTAATAAACCCTACCCGTAGTCGAGCGGACTGTAAATGGGAGGGTAAGGACGTGGTCATTGTCACACCCCAAACTCAGGGAGCGCGGCCTGCGCTCAACCGAGTGAATCTTGTCAAGCAAGCCTGTTGAACACTTTCTACCCAACTCACCCATGATTTAAAGAGAATGCATAACTTGAAAATTGACCAACAAAGAGATCACGTAGACAATACCAAATACCTAACCATTAGTTACTTCATTTAATAAGTCTCCAAAATAGTAAGTTTCACAACCATAGTTTACAAATGGGAGCATGTGATACAATTAGGACATTTTTAGGTCAATTTTTCCCACACCAATACTGTATGCGGCGAAATTAGAGGGTCTAATTTCTTGCTGTTAAGTCACTTCAGAAGAACACCTCGAGGCCCCGAGGACGCGTAGCTATGACCAAGTTCCCCCCTTCGGAGCTCGTCGAGGCCCGACCTGAAGAGAATACTGATCGAGGATAGAATCAAATGGGGAGTTCCCAAGACACGCGGCTACGTCTGACAAAGCTGGTCTGCCTAGAACCTGCCCAGAACCAATACCAGGGTGTCATGTCTAGCCGCTCATCTCCATATCTTTACAATTAATGCATTTTGTACTATGTTAGGATTCCCCTCCTATATAAAGGGGATCCTCACCATTTGTAAGGGACCTGATGTTTCTCCAACTATTCTACATAAGGAAAATAACAACCCTCTCTTTTCTCTCTAACTTACTCGCCCGAGATTACCACTTTCATTTATTACATTCATACTTGTTCTTCATTTATCGTTTGTCTTTGGCCATAAAGAGCCTCTATTAATTATATTCTAACTATTAGCCCTTCCTTGGTTGTCCCCGATAGCTCAAGCTCGAGCTCAGGCATCGACCTCGAGGCCCCTCATCGGCCAGTCTGAGGCTCGAATAGCTAACCCCCCCCCCCCTCGTTTGATTATAGCTCCATTTCAGTTTGCATTTCATCTTTTAACTTCATACATATAGCATCAATTGCTTACACAACTAGCATAAAAATAGATCACGTATTTTTAGAGTCACATTAACAAATTTAATTGTCATTACCATTTTCACGATAAACAGTTTGGCGCCCACCATGGGGCTAAAAATAATAGTGATTATTTTCTTACTGTTTTCATTACACAACGCAAGTTATCTTTCACACTTTTTCTTGTCCAAGATCTCCGATTTCGGGTCAAAATGTCTGGCTTATTGAACAGAGTTGAGAATAACAACCTCAAAAATCATGGGGAAAACGGGGTGGTTGTTCCAATTGTCGGCGCGCCACCACAGAACCCTAATAATGCACTAGGACCGATTCCAGCGGACGCGGGTTCGCAAGACGTACAACAGGTCGATGAAACCTCACACACCGACGAGAGTATACAACATGGCGACCAACAGGAAGCCCAAAAAACCCTGGCTCGGGAAGAAAGGGAAATTATCCTTCACGTTATTTTTAAAATATTGCAGGCACAACAGCTGGCTATCGCTCAGCTGCAAAGCTACCCAAAAACTCCTAGCACGGTAGGATTGAGAGTTACTCCTCCGGCCGAACAAGTACTAGAGAGATCGAGCAATAACGGAATGGTAACCGATCTCGCCGTCATAAAAATGCTCGAGGACCTCACCAGAAGGATCGAGTCAGGCAAGAAAATGATAGCAGCTAACGAAAAAGAGGTTGAAACCTACAACTTCAGAGTCGACCAAATCCCGGGCGCGCCCCCGATCCTGAAAGGTGTAGATTCGAAGAAGTTCGTGCAGCGGCCATTTCCAGCGGAAGCAGCCCTAAAACCCATTCCAAAGAAGTTTAGAATGTCAGAACTCCCAAAATACAACGGGACCTCAGATCCCAACGAACACGTCACTGCCTATACGTGCGCAGTAAAGGGCAATGACATAAAAGACGACGAGATTGAGTCCGTCTTGTGAGCACGTGATTTTTGCCTTACGAAAACTACTCCAAAATAAATCAAAAAATAAAATA